TATCCCAATCACTGATTTTTCTACCGTAAAACAGATGAAATGTTGTCATGGAATCAGTTAGAATTAAATAATCTGACATTAATTTACTAAAATATGCCTAGCAAGTATATTGCGTTAATAAAGAAACCACTTACATGTGAGTTTGTGGTTTCCGATTCAGGAGATGATATTATTGGGGATGGGATTCAAATCGTTTTTCATATTCGGAATTTTATGAATAGCTGTTTTACGCGCTATTCGTGGTGGGCGGGTTTTTACGGTTTGATGCCTGAAAAGTATACCGTTTGACAGATAACTGCCCATAATATGATGTGATCCCACATGATTGCATTTTTAAAGCAAGTCCTGAATGAAATAAGATCGAAGGTAAAGCACTACCAGCTATAATAGGATGGTTTTTTTCTCAAGTAATAATATAACAGTCTATAAATCATAAGAATAGACCACTATATTTCATAGGCTATTGGATAGTGTGTTCTACAGGCTATTCAATAGCCAGTGGATTAAGATATGACTGTTAAGCTTAATTCATATCCGATATATCTATATAGTTCGGTAAAAGTAAATCTGTATTGCTAACGTGTTGTATCTTCATGGTACGTTACCACAAAATGCTGTTTGTTTATTGAGCTGCTAGTGTTGTTGTTCCCATGTGATACTGACGTTTTATGTTTTTCTTGAAACTGGGGCACAGACAACTAAATTCGAATTGTGACAGCCTTGGAGTCCAGTTAATGGAGAGACCGGTGTATACCTCAGTACAATGGAAGATGGTTGCGCAATTTTGTGGATCGGTTGAGGTTGAACATTAACACCGTTGGATGCCGGCCGGCTCAATTGTCTAGAGGTTAAACGTTTGCGTGCGAGACTAAAGACCCTGGGTCCGAGTCCCGCGAGCGGGATCGGGGATGCGCACTTTTGAGGAGTCCTACAATGGGACGAAACGGTCGTCCAGTGCTCCCAGGTTTTCAATGGTGATCTAACATCAATCGGTTCATAATCTCAATCAAAAAAATTTCTTCATGCTTCAAAGATATTTAAAAACATTGTCCCTACAATATGCTAGTATTCGATGCTAGTGCTTGTAGTATCTATTAGAAGCAATGTTTTGGTATATATTTGGAGCGTTTGACTTCCGGGCACTAAGTCTTAAGCTCGAGTTTCGTTCTACTTACTTTGGTTTGGGCAATCGGATAGTATCATTAGCCCTCGCACTTAGGGTGTGGTTTATACCCAAGTACCTTATTAATGAGTTAATTTATTATTCTCCTCATAATTGATGATAAAACCTGGTGGCTTTGGGATAACAATAGATTCATGTTCTAGACTCCGGGTCTTTATTTTATGGGGATGAATAATATTATTTGACTTCTCAAGATTTTGTGTCAAGCAATTCTGTAACCTACTGACTAGAAATCAGATATCCGTGTTACTCAACTGAAACCCTACTGAGATGGCCATATATACTGTAATAATTTCCCCCTATCCCATCAGTCCAATAGCCTCATCAGAATTCCTATTTATTTATTTAAACACATAAACATTGGTGCAAGGAGGCATCAAATATATATGTGCCTTACGAATCATTTGATTTGTGTGGGGGCTGGATGCTGCCCGGGTGCCCAAACAGAAACAGATGGTTTTCTTAGGAGACCATACCCCGAGCCTTTGACCTGAAGATCTGATCCACAAGGCAGTGGAGCATCGTGAGGAGATGCAGTCCCATGGTAGCCGGTGACGAACAATAGGTTCATACGCCTTTTATTCCCTCAGTATCCTGAAGCCTATGTACATCATTGGTTTAAAATCAGGGTTTTCCAACTCCCCTAGGTTGACCCTCCGTGTTCTAGATATTGTCAAAATAATATTGAATGAGTTTATTTACACTTCTAATTTTTTGCTACAAACGATTGTCAAGTAGCATTTAAAGTTCACGGCCTGTTACTCCTCATGGAATAGCATACGCCGTCCACCAGCACTCTCCATCCAACCATGTCCTTGGCAATCCTTTCCAGCTATTTCCAGTTGTTATTCATCCTATTCATATCTGCTTCTATTTCCATTTCCCAACGTAATGTGTTCTTTGGCCTTCCTCTTTTCTGCTTCCCTTCACCATTCCATGTTTGGGATTGCTTCGTGATGCAGTTTGGTGATTTCCTTAATGTATGTCCTATCCATTTCCATCGTCTTTTCCTAATTTCAGTTGGAAGCTGGTTTGTTCTCTCCCACAGTAGGCTGTTGCTGATGGTATCCGGCCAATGGATGTTTAGTATCTGGCGTAGACAACTATTTATAAATACTTGTACCTTCTTGATGATGGTTGTAGTAGTTCTCCAAGTTTCATTTCCGTACAGTAGAACCGTCTTGACGTTCGTATTGAAGATTCTGACTTTGATATAGGTTCAGTTGCATATGTTCTTTAATTGTAGAAATGTGGCCCTTGCTTTGCCAATCATTGCCTTTACGTCTGCATCTTATCCTCCTTGTTCTGCCTCCTTTGTCCTTGACCGATCTCTCTGGTTTACTATATATCCCTGCTAGTATCGTTGTATGATGTAGTTGTTTCATATTTCCTTCTCTTGCAACCTTTTCCGCCGTCGTTGCTAGTTTTTACACGTATTTCTGCTTGTCGGCTTTAATGCTCTTTATCACTTGATTGCTTGCTTCTGTGTACTCAGCTTGTGCCTTGAATTTCTCTGCTCGTGTTCGGCTGTTGTTAATTACTGTCTTTCTGTTTTTCCTTTCTTGAATCTTGTCCGAGGTTTCCATAGAGATCCATTCCTTATGATGATGCTTTTGGCAATCCAGAACCTTCTGACACGAAGTTAGTGCATCTTTGATCCCTTTCCACTTGTCCTTCATAGTATTATTCTATTCTTCGAGTGGATCCTGTAAGGCGTGAAACCTGTTGTTGAGGTCTATATTAAATTCGTTGAATTTGTCAGTATGTCAAAGGAAGACTGTATTGAACCTTTGTAATGCTATTTGTCCAGTTGTCCAATGCTTCTTTAGCTTAATTTTCATCTTGCCAACCACCAGATAGATGGTGATCTGAAGCTATGTCAGTTCCTCTCCTGGTTCTCACGTCTCCCATTGACCTTGTGAATTTCTTACTGATGCAAATATGATCTATCTCAGTCAGTCAGTCAGCTACAACGTAGGACCAGGCACATATATGCATCGGTCCAAGTTGCCATACCGCATTAGCACAACAAGAAGAACACCGGATTCATAGGATTGGTTAAGTCAATGTTGGTAATATATAAAAGAAAGATTGCATATAAGGATATGGTACAAGAAGAAAGTATAAGTTCGTAGAAAGAAAGATGTGAAGTTATTTTAATCTCTTAGTTTAAGGGAAGACAGAGAGTGTACACACCGACGCCATTGTGATCGCTTCTAAGCTATGTCACCAAGAGTCTCCAACCATTGGTTACGATAGTCACGCGGACCCCAACCAGGTAGTCTGCATCTACCAACATGGCTCAGACTAGAAGTTAGTGACTTCAAGCACTGATGCCACGTTTTGGTTTGGCCGCCCCTGACATTCTTCCAACCATCCCCAACACCAGTCAGCATTGCGCGTCATGGTAATCGGTGTTCAGGCATACGTAACACGTGGCCCAACCATCTCAGTCGATGAAGATTCACAACCTCATCAACTGATTTACCATCATTCCCTAATACCGTGTGTCTAACCTCACTATTACTTACCCGATGATCCCAGCAGATGCGAGCAATATTTTTAAGACATCTGAGACCAAACACTAGTAGCTTACGAGTATCTTTTACTCTGAATGGCCACGTTTCGCAGACGTAAAGTAGAGCAGAACGAACTGACGCTTAGCATACTCGTCCTTTTATTGATAGACGGATATCTCGCCTTCGCCCTAGGTGACGTAAGTTGGCAAAAGCCAAATGAGCTTTCCGAATCTGTGCTGAGATTTCGTCTGACACCAACCCAATACGGCTCATCAGACTTCCAAAATGAGTGAAGTTGTCGACGCGTTCGACCAGGTTTTCAATGGTGGTCTAACATCAGTCGGTTCATGATTTTAATCAAAAGCTTAACAATCTTCACAAACCCTAAACTGGTAATTTAACTAATTCGTTGAATGCACATATATTTGCAAACCTCTCACCATTCTCGTTCCTTTCTCCTAGTCATTCTTTGTCGTCCCATGATATCTTCATATCCGGTGTTGTCTATTCCGGCTTTGGGGTTTAGATCTCCCGTCAGAATTGTGAGGTCCTTTCTTGGGTATTTCGCTGTATTTGATTGTAGCCTCTCATAGGATTTATCTGTATTGCTGTCTCTGCTATCATTGATGAGTGCATGGTATTGGATAACATTCATTGTGATTCCCTCGTTCTTTGTTTCGAATGATGCTTTGATGATAGTGGATCCGTGCGATTCCTATCGTATAAGTGCATTTTGTGCTTCTTCGAACAGCATCAGAGCAACTCCTTTAGTGTGTGGAGCATTTTCTTCTGCGTGATCGGAGTACAGCAACATCTCCCCCTGCCCAACCTCTTCTGTCCAACTAGGATCCAATGGGTTTCACGGATTTCGAGAACCGTCAAGTTGTATTTCTTTAATTCTGCAGATCTTCGACTAGTCCTTACGGTCTTCCACATTGTGTGGATCGTTCCATGTACCTATAAAAATTGTTGTTGTGGTGTTTAGAAGGGGCATTGGCTTCATGACATCCGAAGAATCTTGGCTTTCATCTTGAGGCGTAATAATTCTTTTTTCAACTTGGAGGACAGGATTTAGATGGTTTAATTTGTTTAATTTGGTTGGCGTTTTTTAGCACGATTTATTTCTACGGGTTAGAGTTCCGACTCCATGCCAAACCCTTTTCCTTAACTAGTGTTTGGGACCGGTAGTAGTAATGAAAGAGCTACAGGAGGAGTTATATTATATGTATTTAAATTTATTACATTATTTATCTTATTTTCTTATTTTATTAATCTATTATCTGTTTAAAATCTTTCAGGGTCAATGAATTGTGGATATAAAATTATTTGCCAAGATTTTCTTCCACACAATGAAGTTTAATCAAACATCTGTGGATTCATCGTTGGGTAGTCTTTCTGTATCGTCCGCCGTCGATCGATCGTATGACTCGTTCTTAAACAATGTGGATACACAACCGGGTGCATTACTTTCTGAACTTTTGTCAGATTGTACCCCACTTGACTGTCTTGTTTCAAGCACTTTACAATCATCCAATAGTCAAGATAATATATCTTTGTCACTCTATGGAGTATCGTCATCTTCCAATAATAATAATGATGATAACATTGTTAATAATAATAGTAGTAATAGTAATAATAACATTTCGAATACTATTGATAATATGAATGGAATTTATGTCCCAATAAATCCTAATTCACATGATTGCTATCGAAAAAATTCTACAATTGAATTAAAATCTGGTAATGTACATATATATATGTTTTATAACTTTTTCAGTTAGTGTATATTCTCAGAATAACTTCATATTGCATTTATTTCAGTTATATAATTTTTGTAGTATTGTTGATTTCTTATGAAAGCTTCCATTTTATTTCGAATTCGATTACTGTTTTAATTGATACTGTATTTCCTGTTATTCACAGGCTACCATAACCTGTCTATCATTAGTTCTCTGTTCTTCCCTGCTCATCCTAAAATTAGAGTTTGGCTTTATAAATGAAATGACGACGTTAGATTTCAGCAATATATTACACTAACTTGTCCAGTAATTCACTGGTACCATTAAAACGATATTCATTGTCTCGTTAGGTATGAGTAGTCATCAAATAGTTGTATTCTCAGCAGAGTACGGCTTTTCTTTTTGTTTTCAAGAGATATTTATACTTGACTGCATTATCCTGTAAAATTCAGTTCTCAACAAACATTTACGGTGGGTAATTTGGTTTCATGTCCATGCATCAGTCAGAACTGAAATTTTTCGGTAATAAGTCTGGATATTTTTAGTCATCAAAAATTACTTTCTCTATACGAATATGTTGTTTTGGTTGTTTATTTATGAATCAATATAATTTAAGTGAATATTAATTAATGTATTTTCTTCAACTGGTTGTTGTTTTCGTGAATTTGAAGTAAATTTAACCTTTGAAAATAAGGGATGTTCATAGGGTGTTAGTATCTGATCATAAATGCCTTCTAAGCATTACTCACGTATGTTAGGACCATTACGTTAGCTATTCTGAAGTTGGATGTAGAAGACTAGTCGAAAATTTCGAATTAATTGTGATTGTGAATCTCGATCGACTGTGGTGATTGAGACGTACTAAATGTACCCAATCTCCTCCTGCCTGAACTCACGATATTTGTCGGTGTAGGGTTGGGTTAGACTGGTGCTAAGTTATGAGCGGCCTAACCAAAACATATAGTCAATTTATGAAATCGTTGACTTTTGATCTAAGGCATGTTGACAGATGCAGAATACCTTGTTAGGGTCTGCGTGATTATCGAAACCGATGATCAGAGACTTTAGGTGACATGCTTCAAAATCGTTCACAGTGTCACAGGTGCACTCACTCTTTGTCTTCCCTTCGAACTTGACTTTTTAAATTATATTATACACTTTATTCTTGGAATTCATTTTTTATTCTCGAATAATAGCATCCAGGTGTCTAATTTTTTTACTACTATTACTACTGATACTGTTAGTAATTCTACTACTCTTGGATTCGTTTTGATATTATGTAACAACTTAAACCAATGGATATGATTTCCAGGCTCTAGGTTGCTTATAACTAATTTAGTAATGATACCAATCCATTCAAATAGTTTAATAGCATGTCAACAGTTTAGTAAATAAATCTACAGCCCGAAACGACCAACACTTATTTAGTTTACTTTAAGAAATGTTTTACTGAAAGCGAATAACGCTGAATTTTAAGAAAATCCTTGATAAAGAACCTTCTAATCAATTTAGTTATCAATTTATTGTAGTGTACTTCATAGAATATAGAAAAAGGTCAATTCGTGTTTAGATCATTAAGTTTTAACATTTTATGTAGATATTATACACATTTTTAAACAAACCACTCGTAAATTGTCTTTAATTCTTTTTTTTCTTGACCTTAATTGTATTATGGTTGTAATAATAATGTCTAGTTTTTCTCTAGTCTCGTCTCATTTTATAGGTCATCGTCTGTTTTATTTCACTCATTGTGCTGTTAACTTTTCACAAATTTCATATTGTGTTGGTAGTAGTATGGTAATAATAATAATAAAATAATGATCATTATGATAAAGTAACCCTAACATGCGTCAGATATATTTGTCTTATTTTGTCAAAGGTTAACACACATACATTAACCGGTCAAGGTTATTCACGGTTACAAAAAAGTCTTTTTTTATGTATATATATGTTCTATTCTCGTTTCTGTTTTCATCATCATTAAAGTTGACTACCGCTCAACTAGAAAAAAAATCAACAATGTCCAGTTTCAATTGATTTATATTCAAAATTTCATCGTGAAAAATATCTGGACTTATTATTAATTTTTACAAAAATCAAATATGGTTCAGTTTTTAATAACCTTATTTTAATAGTGCGTTGAAAACAAAATAGTTAAGTAGGTGGTGAAAAGCTATCATTAAATCGTTTCATGCATATATAATTCCTAGGTAATTAAGTTGAGTTGATTTGCTATTCATTAATATGTGCACTTCTTTTCTAGGTGCTTCTAGGTACATTAGGGTTACTTTTATCCTGGATTAAAGAAGTGCACTGTGTTCTACGTAAAATTTGTTTCGTGTCTAAGTGTCGTTAAAATGAAAGTTTATTTCGTTGAACTACTTTATAGTATCCATTGGATTACTCAGCTAAAGTATTCGTCTTTTGCTCATCAGGCGCTGGGCATTATGAAGAATATAAATGCACTGCAGCATTATTTATTTCAATGCCAGTTGCTTTCAACTTCTTTGAACCAGATGCATTGTTTAGTTATTAATTGTACCACTCAGCCACATAATGCTTGGTTGTTGGATGGCGTTCTGATCCATTAATCATTGGTTGAAAGCCAAGGGTCTGCACTACAAACTAACAGCTTCCAATGGAAAACGGTTATATATGTTTCAAACATCTATTTTTATGTAGTTTCTAAGGTCCTAAAATATGCAAGTAATATTCATCACAACTTACATTAAGTAAAACAATTTGAAGATGAAGTTTGATCATCAAATCCCTTAGTGAGTATAATATCATTTATTCACTAAACTGGAATTCAGTGGTCCTTCTTTTTGACTTCGGTCAATAATGTATTATAATGTGTTGAGCGTCTGTGCAACTCCAATTACGGCAATGGTTATTTTTTAGAATACTGAAGGAATTTGTATTTAGTTACTTTTAGTTAACCTGCAGCTCAATATTTCGATTATTCAGGTTTGCGATCATTATTTTAGTGATTGGAAGAGTTGGTTATCAACTGGTAGATTACAAGCTCAAATTTCACTCCACGTATTTCGTTTTAATCAAAACTCCTCAGAAATGAAGTGTGATATAGAACCAAGTAGATAAGCATTCAGACAGAATGATTCGATGAACTTCTTTGACACTGGTTTCGAACTTGGGTGAAATGCTAGTTTCTTCATAGTCCCAAATACTCTTTGTTAAGGAGCGCTAAAATGTATGAGGTCTTGATTAAGTTTACTGTTATTTATTTCCGGAAATCTAACATTTGTAAACTCACAAATGACATGGAATTAAAAGTGTTAGGATTTTTTTACCTTGACATTCGCCATTAGTTATTATCTGATTGGTAGTGTAAATGCTTATCGTGGTTCATTTTACAACAGGTATTAAGAAAATATTATTAAAACTATGGTCTACATTAATAGAACTCTTAAAGATCAAAAAGTATCCTATGTTGTGTGGTGTTAATCTTTTATGCCTTTTAAATCAACCATTGTGGTTTTACAAAATTAACTGATTTGTCATCATCAAGTATGACACATTCATATCGTATGTCTTCCTGTTTTATCCCAACGAACTTAGTATTTACTTCATTATTGAGCCATGACTTGTTAGTTTGAACACTCAACTTTCTCAGGTTTTGGTTGCGTTTCGTTTCGTACATACAATTAGTATCGATGTCCTAAATACAGTATACCATAATTCACAGCTCGTATAATGAATTCAGACATAATTACTGAATTAAGTTTCCTGTAAATTTGTTGTGTGAATTGAATAACCCAGTTTAAAATATTTTTCAATATATTTTCAAACATGTGACAGCTGACACTTTCCTTTATGCTTTTCAGATTCAGATATATCATCTAAATTTATTAAAGAACAGTCCAAAGATAGTGGTGTACTGCCAGTGATGTCGAAACTTGATGATTCTATTAAAGGTAATGTATAACACTTTTGTTCGCAGTAATTTTATAGATCATTCCTGTTAGTGAATTTCCCTGATTAATTAGATTAGTATACTGGGGTTTACCAAGACTAGAATTTTCAAGTGGAATTTTGTTCTCTGAGCTGGATGAATTGGTCGTAGAGCTTTCGATGTTCTTCCGAACAACATCGTCGGCACAAACTTTAAGTAGAAGTGAAGTGTTTCTCCACATATGACTCACATTTTGACCTGTCGACCCCAATCTTGATTGGTTATTATTGACCGTCATTGTCTACTTTACTTTGATTGTGTGTTCCATGATTTTTCTGATTGATTGATAGGTGGGATCGATTTCACTGTGTTTGTTGATTGCTGATTGAATTGAGTGCTAAGCTTCTAGAAATCCCCTGGTGCTTTTAGTGTTCCCTCTATTTAGGATCTCAACATTTTTCCAGTCGAATGTATGTCCATAGTTGTTCATATAAATTGATATGAATAGGGTCATGGCTTTTGACCGCTAATTGATGTTCGTGCAGGCAAAGATGAAGGGGCGCAGAATTTTCCTAGGTCAAATCATGGACTGATCTTAGCTAAACAACTATCGGATGCCAGTTCAGTGGTCTAGAGGTTAAGCGCTCTCCTTAGACCGAAGGTCGTCGATGGAGACTCACGAGGAGTCCTATGCTGGTACAAAACAGTTGTCCAATGCTTCATGGTTGTTAGTTGTGGTCTAGCTAAGACCAGTTCGGTATTCAGATTACGACTATTGCGTAAGTGTTGTTTGTATGCAACTTAATCGTTCACGATGATGTAATGAAACTACTAGTATTCAGTCGTTTTTCAAAGCATTGACAATATTTGTTGAATGAGTGATTTTGTGATTAGGCATAGAGTTTTGCTCAATAAACGTAAATCAGTTAGTAAGATACTTAAAATATATTAAATAGTGTTGTTTTCTGTGAGGTTGCTCTAGAAGAGCCAATAGCAGTTCAAGTGTATAGAATTTCTGGCTTTTTTGAACCATATTATTTGATAAAGCCCGCTCATGGGGTGTAAGCATTCTACTAGAGATTTCCAGCTAACTTTATCCTTAGCTCTTTTTTCACTTGCTACCAAGTGCTTTTCTACGAACTAATTCTTTCTTCCTGTATTATATCCTTATACACAATCTTTCTTTTATATACTACTACCTTTGATGTGACTACTTCTATGAATCCGGTGTTCATCTTGTTTGTGCTAATGAGGTATGGCAACTTGGACCGATGCATATACGTGCCTGGTCCTACGTTGCAGCTGACTGACTGACTGGCCTTGTATGGGTAATTTCCAATACAGTTTGTGTTATAGATCGCCGTCATCACTTTGAGAATTAATTGATTGGAAATTAGGCAATTCTACTTTATCCATTTGATATCGATTCGTCCAATAAGCACTACCTTAATCGGATATTAAAAGAAACAAATTATTATAAATCAAATCCAAATGGACCGTTAGTTTTTGTTCAGTTCATATGTGACTATCTATCTAATACCGAACTATGTTCAACACTAAATAAATCAATGCCACATTCATCGTTTTGACCATAACACTGCCTTAAATATTTTAAAATATTTAATAAAATTCATAACAAGGGAATTTGTCAATTGATTGGAGAACTCAGTATTATATGTATGTACGGTGTTGTTTTTGTTTACATTTAACGAAATCTTTATTCAATTGATTAATATATATTTATATATAAACTGACTACTATTGACCAATAGGAGTTGCTTTGAATGGTCATATTCTCTATTGAATCAGTTGGCCACTATATATATATATATATATATATATATATATATATATATATATATATATATATATATATATATATTTGTAAATAATGATTATCGGTCTGATCTAGGAATTGTTGATGATAAGAGAAATAACGAGCGCTAGATTATTATTTTACTCAATGTTTATCCAACTAGAAATAGCTCGTTAGAAAAGTTTATGTAGATTAATTAAAAAAATATTTATCACAAAAAGTAAAAAAATTCTTGTTATTGAAAAGTATATGTTGTATGAGAATTTATTTATAGTTGGAAAATATTAACTATTAAGATCTATCATTTAATAATTTAACACTTGCGTATTCTCATGCGTTCGGTGTTAAACGAAAGCGACAAAATTCTACCTAACCTCCACTTTTTTTCTCGTTTGTTTTTTCTGAGCATGTTAGAAAACCTGTTTTTTAAAACAATACATTTACTAACTACGCGTATATGTGTAAGAATACGACGTTCGAACTGTGCATTGATCTAGTTCACTTTCGTGTGTTTCATTATAAATTTCTGTTTCGCTTCAATTCATAAGCTTCTTCGTTTGTAGAGAAAAGTGTCAGTCAGTTGGTTAGTCATCTTCAAGGTAGAGCCCAATAAGATGTCCGTTGACCCAAGTTGTTATATCACGTCAACACGACAAAATAAATTGCAAAAAATGGAAATAACTTAGTAGCAGTGATCACTCAGTTAATCAGTCATACTCAATGTAAAATATGGGACATGTACTCATTGCTTCAAGTTGCCACACCCCATTAACGTAGCAAGATAGGTTTGTTAAAACCGATCCCAGAGTAGTAGAGGCAGTAAAAGTATTAGTGGTAATAGGGGAGATCAGGCATAGAAAATAAAATTCGAACAAAAAATATGGATCTGTGAAATAGAAGAAAAATTTTTATTAGGTGAATTAAGAACTCAAGATTTAATTGATGACAAAGAGTAAATGCTCATGCTCCATTGCTAACGATTTTGAACTGTCACTCAGTTTCCAACCATCAGTTATAATAATCATCCATACCCCAACTAGGTAGTTTGCATCTATAAATATGGCTCAGACCAATAGGCAATGAATTAATGGGGTGATTCCATGTTTTGCTATGGGTACCTCTAGCTTTCCTCCAACCACCTCAACCAGCGGACATCATCTATCAAGGTAGACGCTGTTTACATATATATGACACATGTCCTGACCACCTTAGTCAATGAAGATTTACAACCTCATCAGCTGATCTGCCATACTGGGCTTATAAACTGAGTCTAACCTCCACATTACTCACGTGGTCGTTCCACAAAGCGTGAGCAATGTATCCATTGATCTGAAAAACCATTTAGTTTTCATTTACCTATTCACAATAAGTCAGTCAGTCAGTCAGCTGCAACGTAGGACCAGGCACGTATATGCATCGGTCCAAGTTGCCATACCGCATTAGCACAACAAGATGAACACCGGATTCATAGAAGCAGTTAATTCAGTGGTGGTAATATATAGAAGAAAGATTGTATATAAGGAGATAGTACAGGAAGATAGAATTAGTTCGTAGAAAGAAAGATTTGAAGTGATTTTAATCTCTTAGTTTAAAGGAAGACAGAGTGTATACACCGACGCCATTGTGATCGATTCTGAGCCATGTCACCAAGAGTCTCCAACCATTGGTTACGATAGTCACGCGGACCCCAACCAGGTAGTCTGCATCTACCAACATGGCACAATAAGTACAATTCATATAGTAGTAATGTAGAACATGTCTGTTAATCTAACGTGTTAGGCCGTTTTACTTGACGTCGTCTTAGGGTTGATGTATTTGCCGTACACACATATTGGGCAACACCGTTGTAGGTATGCATATCGTTGCTGATAGTATGTAAACATTTGAAGTTAGTCACATGGTAATTCATATAATATCGCACTAAAAGATTTGATGTTTTTTTTTTTTGAAAATTGACTTATTCTTTCCAAACGACGTTTTACAGTTTAAGTGGAAATCTAAATGAAATTGTAACCGGATCATTACCAACTTAGATTTCGAATTTTGCATGCTAAAGTCTTAAGCTACTCAATCGCATGATCTCATTTGTCTCATCTAAGGTTTTGTTGTGTGCCATTGAATGCTAATACAAATAAACTGTCATATCATAAGTGGACTGTCAATCTATTGTTTTGATCAGTTCTGTCTTCGGCATATAGCGTTCAATACAGAAGTCTGAGGAATGTCTTATCTTAGACTTATTCGTTCCACCAAAACTAATGAATTCAATTTAACCAGTATAGAGTTGTCATTACTTTTGACTTATGAGCTGTTGAATGAGATAACGAACAACATTCAAATCATAAAGCCTACAAATTGCGTCAAAATAAATGGAAGCTAATATATAGTGTGACAAAGTCAGTATTTATAGGATATTGTAATCAGGTATTATTTTTTCATATTTTTAGAATTTCTTTGATTTAGGCATTGCAAATTTTGATAATTTACTTGTCAATTATGACACTGTGAGCTTTTGACTTAAAGACTGTCTATCTGGTGTATTCTAATAGTAACTGGTAACAAGAGTAACTCCATTTGTACTCTCCGGCTACTTGGGTGCATATGGATCTTTTATTTAGGACCAGAATTTTTCAGGTTGAACTCTTAGTCCTAAAATCAGGTTTAATCATGTATCACTCGCTTTTATCTTCTCATTTCTGTACGGAATGGCCCTACCATCTAAATAAAGTGAATTGAATTTCTTCGACAGGTGCTATAAAGGAAATACAACTATAGCTGCACTTCTTGACATTAAGGGAACGTTCGATTTCGTAGATCAATAGGTTTCATGGGATTGAAAAGTGTACCAAAGAAGCAGATTAACTTTGTATTGGATTTCTTATCGAACAGTTATAGTTGAGTCAGAGCGTACGGGGAACTGTCATAAAAGCTGTCAACCTCAAGTGGGATTCTTCAGGGTTTTTCATTTTCTCCATTGTTATTTTATTTTGTCAAAGACACTCTTTTGGAGATGATACCCTAATCGTCTAACTTTTCTGGGATCGATCTACCAGGTGATTCACTTGCTGACTTAGAATACACAGATGACGTAGTTCTATTTGGTGAAGATGCTGACCAAATGCACAATCGTTTGATGGTGTTTAAAAATAGATATTCATACTGGTATTCGATCATAGGTGTTGTTGAGTCATTATTCGTGTATTTTC